TTGTTTAGCAAAGGAGGGGGGGCGGGGGGGGAGAAAAAAATAAAGAAAAAAAGAAGGGAAAAAAACCAACCCCACAACACAATTAAAAATTCTATGCTTCGTCATTACAAAAAATAGCATAAACCAAGCTTTAACACGTGTAGAGTGCGGATTTCAAGCAGACATTGTTCTGACCTAGGGCAAAGGAAGTGACCTCTCACTGCTATAGAAAACCAAAGTTACGGTTTGGAAAAAGGACAGGTCGCTGAAGGTTTGAAATGGTTTTCTTGTTTCTTTGTTTTCATTTGTCTGGGTTTTTTTTGTTTCTCTTTTTTTTGTCTTTTTTTTTTTGTTTTGTGGTTTTTTTTTTTTCCCCATGTACGGTAGGCACCAGTACAGGCACTGCATGCGACGGAAGTGGGGAGGAAGAGGAGGAGAGGGGGACGACGGTCAATAGGCGTTATTTCTGTCCGCTGATGGACTGCGATATAGAGCGGGGAGGGATCATATCCAAAAGGTATTCCCGCTGCCGGTCCGCCAAACTTGACGCTTTGTGGCCTCCGATTCCAGCATTCAGGTAAGCGATGTTAACACCTGGAAAGGGGAGAAAAAAAGCAGGTGGGGACCCCTCCAACACGCCCCTGTGCTCAGAGCTCCCCGTTCTGTGACCGAGCCAGGACGCTTCCAGCTTTTACGGAGGAAGCAATAATTTAACCCAAACCCACCCTCCGAAATCCGCGGGGGTCTGAAGGGGTTCTGCGGCAGGGGGAAGGGAAGTACCACCATCACCGTCAGCCTGCGCTGGTGGCAATACGCCTCCTCCCCTCTCCCCAAAAATCAAACCAGGCGCAGACTGACACGTCCCGCTCTCCATCTAGCCCCGAGCCCCATCCTGCTTGTGCTCCGGCACGGCCCCGGGACGTTACCTGGCATGCCGAGGAGACCGCCCGCCACGGACAGCTGGGGTGCCTGCGCAAAGTTGGAAAGCATGGAGCGGGCAGAGGTGGGGATGCCACGCTGCAAAGTGCTCTGAGGCTGCGGAGCCTGAGGAAGAGGAGAACAAAGATGGTAAGAAGGCACCGGGGTCGCCCAGCGGTCTGGAAGCAGTCGGAGCCACAGCCAGAGGGTGAAGAAGCAGTCGTGGTTTTTGGCCGGTATGTGGAAAATGCAAGTTTGCAGGTCACTCTCATAGAGGTATGTGATCGGGGAGCAGAGTCTGGGGCCGTGCTGTGGGGTCCCTCACCAGATGGCACAGGATCGCCAAGGGAGGGATCCGGAAGGGAAACGGAGGGAGAGGAGACCAGCAGCAGCTTCGGTCTCTGCTGCCCCAATGAAATGGGGTGCAGGGGACTTGAGATTAAAAGCAACCCTACAATCCCCAGGTAAACGGGCAGCCAGACCCCCGAAGCTGCTGTAAGAGAGATGGCAGCGGGATGCTGGCACCTCCCTCTCCTGGGGGAACGCTCGCTGTGCCCACCCTGCTCCGAACCAGGAGCGTGCATCTGGGCTAGGAGCAAGGGGACGGACATTCCTGCCCAGCCGGGGAGCCAGCACCGGAGCTATGGAAGAAGGAATCGGCTCACCTGCCGGAGCGTGTGGTGCCGCATGATGTTCTCCTGTTTGCTGACGCTGGAGACGGCCGGAGCTGTGGTGGGGGACAGGGCTGCCTGCTGCTGTAGCCTCTGCTCAATCTCCTGAGCAAAAGAACCAGAAGCACTCTTAGAGGGACATGCCATCCCATCGGATCTCGCCTCCCTGATGAGACGCAACAGGTCCGAGCTGACCCCTCTGGCGCCACGAGCCAGGCACACCAGGGCACACACCAACACCGGCCACGGTGGGTGGCCTTCCTG